TGGTGTTTTCCAAAACTGACAGAAAGGGCACGTGCAATTTGGTCTCATACTCTCCTGGATTCCAGCCAGGCTTCCTCAGTCAAGCTGTCCAAACCTTTTCTTGGAGAACCATCTGGAGGTTGGAATATTCTCCCAAACAATTTTACTTCGGAAAGGAAAGGAACGGGACACACATTTTGTCCGCTAATAAACTGTGGTTTTACTCTTTGAGGAGGTAGGTAGGCAATGCATGCAGTAGAGCCATGAAAGTTTACTGAACCATGACTGAACAAGAGGACACACACCCCCACCACCCCCGCCCCCTGCCATCTGTGTGGTGGTGCTGGGCGGGGCTGTCACCTTGCACTAATTCCAAATGGTCCCCTCCACACTGTAGTCTCTGGGAATGGTGTCTCCCCTGGAGTTGGACCGTGCACAACCTGAGCAGCCATGCATGAGGGCCGTATGGTGACCCTGTGCGTGTGTGAGATGGCCTGTTAGACAGTTGGTCACAGAGTAGGCTTCTAGATTGAAGCTGGAAGACAAGACTTACTTGGGAACAGATGGATAAACCTCACGAGGCCTCATCTTTTCCATGGACTCGTGATCTTTGGGCCCATTTTTGGGGGCTGTGTACAAATGACTATGCGTCGGAGTCTACCCAGTATGCGGAGCTCCTGTGGTATAAGCTATTAGTAAAGATAGCTAAGGCAGGGAAAGCCAGGTTCACAAAGTGGCTACATTTAGCAAGAAAAATGATTGGAGGACAGAAATCTTTTAAATCAATTTTTAGTGTTTAAATGACTCCAGGCCTCTCCCCACGTTTTGACAAACGGCTTTGGCTTCTTATCCACATCCGTTTATTTGACCTCCTTTTTCCATCAGCTACCAAAATGAAAACTCTGCTACGGGAGAGAGAGGGAGCAATTTTAAACATCTCATAGCAATGAGGCAGAACATGCTATAGCCATCAAGTTTTAGTTGTTCATTCTATTTATTGAAGAAAGCCTGTAGCCTGATTTCTTTTATGCGAGTACATTTGAGCAAGCAAAGTTTATAGAGATGACTTATCTCATTACATTAGAAGAGTGATTTGCTATCTCAGCATCTATAAGCAATTTTAACAGACATTTCTGGATGAAGAAAAGCTTTTGTAAATATATGCGAAAGACACAATTTCATCAAGCATTAAATTGGAGGTGCCCTGGAAAAAAAATATTACATTTGTGCATTCAATTAGCTTGATTGTGGCTGAATTTTGTCCATGGAAGGCAGCATTTCTGCAGAAAAACAGAAGCATTCCCTATGTCAGCAGGTTTTCGAAAACAGAAAAGCACACTTTCCCCCTTTGCAAGTCCTCTTTTGCATTTGTGCTGCTCCCAGCTCTGCGTCCCTAATCAGGCTGCTCAGTCTTGTTCTCCACAGAGGAGGGTAAGGGGAGAGTGAATCAGAAGCCACTTTATTCAGGCCTTACGGAAATCCAAACCCAGCAATTCCAACTTTAAAATAGCCTGTGTTTGGTCTGAAAGCTAGGTGAGCTCTGAGCAAAATTGGGACTGAGGAAATGGAGAATGGTTGGGGCACAAGAGGGCTTTCTTGGACCCTGAAATCACCACAAAGAAATGAGCTAAGTTTTTAAGATGATCACCAGCCTACCCACATCCTCTCCTTTGCTGTTCTGTATAGTTGAACCATCAGCTTTCTATTAGGCAATGAACCAGGAAAGACATATGTCAATGGAACCTGGCTGTGGGAGTGCTTGTTATTTTTTAAAATATATTTTTAATTGATTTCAGAGAGGAAGGGAGAGAGATAGATAGAAACATCAATGATGGGAGAGAATCAATGATTGGCTGCCTCCTGCATGCTTCCTACTGGGAGGGGGGGAGGGGGTTGGGAGTTGAGCCTGTAACTTGGGCATGTTCCCTTGGCTGGAATCGAACCTGGGACCCTTTAGTCCGCAGGCTGAGGCTCTATCCACTGAGCAAAACTGTCTAGGGCTGTTATTTTTAAACACTAGGTTGAGAACAAATCAGGACTTCCCCAGCTATAATCCATTGTAGCCCAAGGCTATCATTTCTAAAGATTAATTAATTGAATCAGTAGTAGAGAAATGTTTCAAGTAAGGTTTAGGTTTCTATGTCAGGGACGGTGCCAGATTTCAAATTTAACTGTGGATTCTTGAGCTTTGAGGAAGCACCTTGGTCTTAATGGATGACCTTTGTCCTAAGAGATATGAACTCATGTATGACTAGGAAAAATTTTAAAATCTGGAGTTGAGCAGGTAATATAGCACTTCAGTCATTCTCTTATTCATTCACTGATGTACTAATTTATCAGTGGACAGGCCTACTCTGCTGGCCCCTGAACTACTGAGGATTCAAAGAACAAGGCAACACTGAAGAAAGATAAGGGCTGAGATTGAGGAAGGCGCAGGTGAGGCGCTTCAGGGTGCAGAGTAGGTGATTCTCACCCAGGTGAAGCATCTGGAAGGTTTCTGGGAGAGGCAATACTTAAAGCAAGATTTTTATTTGTCTCATTTTTTTTCTGAAGTGCAATCATTGGTAGAAAAATGCAGTAAAGTATAAAGAAGAAAATTTGAATCATCTGGAATGCCAACCAAAACCAATCACGGTTAGCACGTTGGCAGGTTGACCTTATTGAGAATTAGCTCTTGTTTCCTTGGAGCGAGAGGCGGGTTTCCCTCCCCCTCCTCAAGAGGACAGGCCCAGCGTTCTGCGGTGAAAGTCAGGCCTCCTTTGCCCCACAGAAGCGGTAAGTGGCTTTTGATTTTTCAAAGTCTGGTCCAAGAAGAAGGCCTCCTGCATGCATGCGCCAAAAAGGAGGGCTCTGTAGAAGCAGGTAACCTCTCCGTGGGACAGCTGGGTTTCCAGGGACCGAGCGGGCAGTGCCCAGGTCATGGGGCCAGTGCCCCGCCTCCACAAAGTGCCTGAGTGTCCTTTGATGGGAAACTCTGGGCACTTGTAGGGGATAAAAAACTGTCCGCAGCAGCGTCGCCTGCCTCTGGGAACAACGTGGTGACTGGGCCTGGCGAATGGGGAATGCGGCTTTGCCAGTGTTAAAACCTAATTCCCAGCCCTGACCTGATTCCATACCACTTCTTTTCCCATCACCAGCACAGCCCCCGACCCACCGTGAATTGCTAGGA